GAATTTAATAATGCAGAACAACCAAATGTTGCTTTTCTTCCTAAGTTTCAAAATCAGTCTAAATCTACGGCCAAAGTCGTAGTCCAGATTGCAAACAGGTCTGACAGTTGGCCTGTTCTAGTTTTGAGCTACAATTTGGCCGGAGACCATGGCCCCAAATTTCACCTTCCTAGCTTTCACAGTCATGTGGTTAAACGGTGCTGACAAATTTGCATAATATACTAAATTCGCTACATTGCTTTCTTGTTTTGCGCAAGAAAAAATCTTTGGCGACGCGCACTGAGCGGGTCCTTGCGATCATGCGTTTTTGCAGTATCTCGTGCTGTAATGATTTCGTTCACAAACCCAGCAGCCAGAAATGTGTGTCATACAGTTCCATGAAGCCCGAGAAGTTAATTTTCTATGCGCTAGTTGGACAGGGAACATTCCATAAAAATTTCAGTCTCCCAGTTATCCCGGCTCCCGAGTTAGCCATTTTCCCACCAAAAATTTTCACGAGCCATACATAAGAAACATGCACACCGACAGGCTGAACTTGATAAATTTAAGTCGCACCTGTGCTGAGAATAATATCCCTTTAAAATTTAAGGCTCCCAGCTTTCCTGCGCCCCGAGTTAGAAATCCCCCCACCAGAAATTTTCACGGGGCCGTGCGTGAGAACCACGCATGTCCGGGACTAAATTTGAAATCTTTGAGTTCCAGATGGACGGGGGACATAACCCCAAAATTTCAGCTTTCTAGCTTTTCTAGTTCTCGAATTAGCTACTTTTCCGCCAAAACTTTCACCCGTTCATATGCGGGGGACTTGCATGAGAGTTGATGTCGCGGTCATGGAGTTGCACTTGGCTGGGGAATTTGTAGGCAAAATTTTAGCGCCCAGCTTGCTTGGTTGCCGAGTTGAAATACCGGAACACATACACATACACAAACATATAAACACATACACACACAACAAATTTGCAAATAAGCAAAAACGCATAAAACGAGAAGACACATATCCATTCCTGTCGCTCCTGGACAGGATCGCTATTTAATAAAATTTTGATGAAACTGCCAACCCAATAGTTATTGTATTTTTTCCAGAGAGCCATTTATGAATTACAGTTGAATTAGAATTCATCTACTTTTATTATGCGTCTTTACGCGTTTTTTATGTGTTTTTGCATGTATGCAAATGCAAGAATGCATACTGTGACGACCCCGGTGTGCGTGTGTGTGCGTGTTTGTGTGTATGTGGGTGCGTCTGCCCGGGTATTTCAAATCGGCAATCACGCAAGCTCCGGTGCCTAAATTTTGCCAACGAGTTCCTTGGCCAAATGCCACCCCAAAACGACGGTACCAGCCCTCACGCACGTCTAGGCCCCGCATTACGGGCTCGTGAAAGTTTTGGCAGGAAAATCGCTGAGTTAGGAACCAGAAAAGCTAGAATGCTGAAATCTTACGATTATGTTCTATGTCCTCGTTAGAACCCAAAGATTTCAAATTCAACTGCCAAGTATGCGTAGTTCTCACGTACAACGTTGTGAAGGTTCCTGGCGGAAAAATCACTAACTTGAGAACCAGGGAAGCTGGGAGGCTGAAATTTTAAGAGAATGTTCCCAGCCCTGTATAATTTAAAATTTTTAAACTCAGCCCCAAGGTATGTTTGGTTCACACATACGACCCCACGAAAATTTTTGTAATTGCTAACTCGAGGACCAGAAAAGACTGAAAGCTAAAACTTTGTGGGGATGTTCCCTGACCAAGTACCATGTTGTTTCACAGTTACTTTTCTAAACTTCGAAGGCCAGTACGAAATACCGCAAAAACGCACGATCCCACGGATCCGCCCGAAGCGCGTCGCCAATGGTTGCATCTATGCAATGCAAAAATGCATATTGTCGAGGGGTTGTATGTGTGTGCGTCTGTACCGATTTTTCATTTCGAGACCTATAAAAGCCGCAGAGCTGAAATTTTGGGAAATTAATCTACGTGCACGTACGAACCCCAGTCCCCAAAATGGGCGCTCTTACCCACGTGGTCCCCACATACGAGCTCGTGAAAATTTTTTGCGGGTAATTTTCTAAGAACCCAGGAAGCCAGAAAACTAAACTTTAAGGGGATGTTTTCTGACAGCCCTAGCAGCCAGTCCTAATTCTTTTAGCCAGAAGCACCTGCCAAATAAATCAGTTCCGTTAGCGACAAAAACCTGCGAGGAACAATGAAAAAGGACGCATCTTCACACCCGCGATTGGTGAACGCACCGGCAGTCGCATTTTCACACCGCTGGCCATTTACTATCTTCGCAGCACTGCGCAGTTAATGTTGCCTGTTGCAGCGAAGACAACTCTTTCGTCTTCAAGCCACCGCATCTCTATGACGCTATTGCACCTGCTTTTAAATATGGTAATTTTTCGAATAAACCTTGTACAGGATTTGATTTTCACGAACCTCTGAAATAAAATTGGAACGTTTGAAGGTAACTCTGAAATGGAAAATGTCTTGGCTGTGCTAAAAAAGCAAAAGAATGAGTTGTATATCTTCGGCAATTTCTATCATGCCAAAAAAGCCTGAAGAACATTTCATTCCGGACTAAACATGGAAGAGACAGTTTGATGAGCTAGTCGAAATGAAGTGGAGACCATATATTGAAAACATCAGGGTTGGCATCACAGTCAGTGCGGGTAGTCAATGTCATCGATGTTACTGGAATGCTCCCATAAGCCCGGATATACCAGGACTTTTGTTCCTAGAAAAATAATTGTGCCATAATCACTTCAAATTATTGAGTTTGTGCTCCACTGTGGACAGTGGCCACAACGAGAGCGGAAACTTTTGCGCTAAAATTAAATCGTTTTTCATTGTCAAGCTGCATATACAGCGTGGGTGGTCGGCTGCTAGGCAATCCTGAAGGGAACAAAGGAAGCATACCTTTTTATTTTCAAGAATTTCACTTATGATTTTGAAGTGGCTTTACAAAAGATTTGGCCAGGTCCATTGTTGTTGCAGATGAAAGCTACACGGATTGGTCAAATTTCCCGGAAAAGATAAAATCGGTTTATGATGAAGTTACAAACCTTTTCCTGGAAGAGAACACTGTTGCTCCAGCACCAAAGCTTAAGTTGAGCGCTCAAACACTTCGAAACGATCTGCGACGCTGCGGTTTGTTTAGCATAATAACAGTGGTGAATCTTGCAGTTGGAATAGAATTCACACAAAATTTCAAACGAAAGAATCTCTCTGCGATTTGCTCACTCATTTCAATGGTAAATTAGTGGTGGCGTGAGCCAGAGCGTCAAACTTGCCATCAGCTTACTTGTAAGCAGCCCTCGAAAGTGAGAGCCACTGAGAGCGGACAGATGCTGGCATTTGTTACTACTTGAGCTGCTTTCCGAGTAATTCCACTTCTCATCAAAAGTGAATACGAAAGGGGTTTTGACTTATGACTTTGGCCATTACACGCTAATAGGTGCAAAAAAAACTGTAACTTATTTTTGAGAATTTAGGTATTTAGTTGAGAGCCGGTTTTATGTTTGTGGGACAGCATGTGGATTAGAAATATACTCGTAAAAACTTTTACTCCCGAGATTTCTTCCACTGTTGAGTTGGAAATGGACAACGATACCCAAACACACATACACACACATACCGATAATCTCTCGTCAATATGGCTTTTTACACTTCATAAATGATGCAAAGGACTACAATTTATTTACACCTAAGATGAAAATAATTATTTCAGTTATTTACATTTGGCCTCTGGTTGAGTCTGCTGCTGCTTTTTATGATTTAATCGTGTGGAAAAGTACTCTCACCACTCTTATGGCATTTGGTGTTCGTTCTTTTAACAATTTTAAAAATAACACTTTTGTCAACTAACCTTTCAGTATTGAATGCATCAATGACTTCTTTTCTTCTTCACTAACTTTTGTTAAATTAGCCAAAAAGCTTTGCACAGCAATTTTGCCCTAATACAATGAATTTTCAGGTCTGCACTTACATGTTCCACAACGGGTATTTGTATAAAACCATATTGTTATTAACTCTTCTCCAACTGTTTGCAAATTATGTTTTTTACCAAAAGTAAGTCCATGGTATTTGTTCCAAGGTTGCTGTAAATGCTGTTTGCTGTTAAGCTAACTTTTACTTTCCATTATGAAGGAAGCTTTTTTTTGAGAGGAATTGATTTGCGAGTAACGTTTTTGCCTCGAGTACATATTGATGTGCCTCAT